GTTGCATGACTGCGCAATTACCAGTTAAAGAAGCGCAGTGCCGAACAGAAAAAAAAATGCCCTAGTTAAGGAAGGGGGTAAAACCTTCCAGAGGTCGGATGGTTAAGAATTGATACAACAGAATAACACTTATGTAATTTCAACAAGAGTTTGACAGACTGTATTTGGCTGAAAGCTATAAAACAGCAAAACCTGTGAGATCAGATAATATGAAAGTTCCAAAAATTCCAACATGGTTACTTATAATTTTTAATTTAAAAAGCCATTGGAAAATGTCTTTCTCACACTTGCAGCCTGATTGCTGGTCCTTCAAATTGCTTTAGACCTTTGCTCCTTCCCTGTGAGGACTGACAGAGCTGCAGAGAGAAGAACTCTCCTTGGTTGGCAGACTTCAGCCTGGCCCACCAGTGCCAGGATTAAGTATAACTTTTAATAATTTTATTTTTAGTTTTGGATAAAGAAGAGAAAGATCATCACCTGTTAGGTTTATGATTCTGGCGTTTTAGGGACTGGGGAAAGCTACATGGTGGATGGATGGAGCTGAGTTGTTCCAGGAGCCAGAGAGTGTGAAGACTGCCCTATGCTGCGAGCTGTGTTGCAAAGGTGCTGCTGAGCTGAGAACCAAGCTGCAGGGAAAAGAGCTGCAATGTGTTGTGCCCAGAGCAGTAGAGGTAGAGAGACTGACTGTAGGCAGCTACTGTAGCAGAACAAAAAGCAGGGACAAGCGCTATGGTGCCTCCAGGTGAAGAGGACTGAATTGTGTTGCTGCTAGACTAATGCTGGCTTGAAAGGAGAGCCTATGTGTGCATGGCATGACCTTTCAACAGGCCTTCAAGAAACTGTCAGAGACCAATGTATTTAGTGAGAGGCTTTTTGGCCACTAGCCTCACTAGCCTTGTTAATAACTTTATGGCCCTTGCTGCATTCTAGAAAGTGTGCTCCTTCCTACAGGCTCCTTTCATAGACTTCTTTAGGGCTGTGTCCCAAAATGCGTAGAAATAGTTAAAATGTTACTAAACCCAGGAACCTGCATTCACCAAATCTGGTCTCCCACAGTACACAGAACATGGAAATGCAATTATTTTAGTAAATATAAAATGCTGAATACCTTTTCTCATCAGCAGTATATAGCAGTCTTGTGACTTTTATCAGTGTCCGGCCGAGCACTGGTTAATCTCGTAGGAGGAGTTTTCATTCTCCTCTGACTGTCCTATGAGGCTGCATGACCCCTGGCCCTCTGTCTGGACAGTGCTGATTGGCCCTGTGCTGAACACATGCACCTTCCTAAAGAAAAAAAAAAACTCTTTAGCCATACACACTAAACTGAGCATGTGGAGAGTGACTCCTAGAGCTCTGCACTATCAGCAGACTGATTGGGGACACAGAAGAAGGGGAGGATCAGAGAAAACAGGATCAAACAGCCTTTTTACATAATGCAGAGGATTAACCCCTTAGGTTCCACCGTGAGTATAACACGCATGCTTTACTGCATATATAGACTGATTTTACTGTTGTGGGTTTAGTAACACTTTAATGAGAAGGCATTAACTGTGCAGGCATTGCCAGTGTATAGAAGACTGCCTCCCACCCTCATAGATCTTTTGCTTGAGGATGCTCCAAAGGTTCTCAATAGGATTGAGGTCAGGGGAGGATGGAGGCCACCTTTTATCCCCATAGCAGCCATTGATGTAGAGGTATTCTTTACAGCATGAGATGGTGCATTGTCATGCATGAAGATGATTTTATTACGGAAAGCATAGTTCTTCCTTCTGTACCAGGGAAGAAAGTGGTCAGTCATAAACTCCACATACTTTGCAGAGGTCATCTTTACACTTTCGGGAACCCTAAAGGGGCTGACCAGCTCTGTTCCCATGATTCCAGCCCAAAACATGACTCCACCTCTGCCTTGCTGACGTCGCAGCCTTGTTGAAACAGGGTGGCCGTCCACCAACCTTCCACTACTCCATCCATCTGGACCATCCAGGGTTGCACGGCACTCATCGGTGAACAGGACTGTTTGAAAATTAGTCTTCATGTATTTTTCTTCCCAATGCAGCCATTTCTGCTTGTGAGCATTGGTTAGTGGTGGCCGAATAGAAGGTTTATGCACAGTTGCAAGACTCTGGAGGACTCTACACCTTGATGTCCGTGGGACTCCAGAGGCACCAGCAGCTTCAAATATCTGTTTTCTGCTATGTAATGGTATTTTAGAAGCTGCTCTCTTGATCCGATTCATGGATCTGGCAGAAATCTTCCTCAATGTGCGTTTATCTGCACGAATCCATCTGTGCTCTGAATCAGCCACAAATCTCTTAATAGTGCGTTGATCACGCTTAAGTTTTCGTGAAATATCTCATGTTTTCATACCTCGTCCAAGCCATTGAACTATTTCACTCTTTTCGGCAGCAGAGAGATCCTTTTTCTTCCCCATATTGCTTAAAAATGGGGCTCTGCTTAATAATGTGGAACACCCTCCTTTAGTAGTTTTTCCTTAAATTGGGCTCACCTGCCAATCTACTTATCACAGGTGTCCGAGATTGTTTTCAGTGATCAAAAGAGCCCTGACACACAATGCCATCCAGGAGTTAAACTGAAAAACAAAATATTTAATCTTTGTGACACTTAAATAGAATTTGCATAATAATTTGGAACAGGGTGTATAGTAGTGTGCAGAGGATTCATTGAGAATTTGGGGTCTTAACATGTGGTGAATAGAACCTTATATATAGGTAAAGTATTTGGATATGACCAAAGACGGTGTTCCAGTTCCAATATAGGTGTCAGAGCTCCCGGGTATGACCAGAGGTGTGTGACTGACGCAGGGAAACGCAGACTTCAGATATGTTATAAACAATGTAATTTATTAACACTAACCATACAAACATAAACGCAGTGCAATACTAAAACATAACACAGTGCAAACAAACCAACCAACCACCCACAGATAACAGTACATACAATGCAAGCGTCGTCAGGCAGGCCGGGTCAATATCAGTCGGGCAGGTAGGTACAGGGGGAGCAAGCGGAGAATGGTCGGGGTCACAGGCCAGGTTCAGCAGGTAGCGGGCAGCGTGGTACAGAGGGTCAGGCAGAGGAGAATGGTCAGACAAGCCAGGGATCAGAGCAGGGTCAGCAGAGAATCAGACAAGAACAGAGAGCAGGAACAGGATACAGGGCCCAAGAGAAACACAACACCAAGGCAGAGTCTGCAGGTCTGAATGTCCCTTAAATACACCAGTATAATTAGTTCCAGGTGTTTGACTGGCTGCAAGGTTGAGTCTCTGATTGCTGGGAGCACCCGCTGGCCAGCCCTGGTACTGCAGCTCATAAGGCAGCTGAGTCCCAATATTGCTGGCCAGTCCATTCCTGACAGTACCCCCCCCCCTCAAGGAGCGCTCCAAACAGTCCTTGCTGGGCAAAATGTTCCACCGCCCGGGTTCTGGTAACTGGCGGGATATCAAAGACTGGCACACCGGGCAGGACTCCGGGTAGCGGCACACCGGGCAGAGGCACATCGGGCAGGACTCCGGGCGGCACACCGGGCAGGGCACATCGGGCAGGACTCCGGGCAGAGGCACATCGGGCTGGACTCCGGGCAGAGGCACATCGGGCTGGACTCCGGGCAGAGGCACATCGGGCTGGACTCCGGGCAGAGGCACATCGGGCTGGACTCCGGGCAGAGGCACATCGGGCTGGACTCCGGGCAGAGGCACATCGGGCTGGACTCCGGGCAGAGGCACATCGGGCTGGACTCCGGGCAGAGGCACATCGGGCAGAACTCCGGGCAGAGGCACATCGGGCTGGACTCCGGGCAGAGGCACATCGGGCTGGACTCCGGGCAGAGGCACATCGGGCTGGACTCCGGGCAGAGGCACTCGGGCAGCAGCACACCGGGCAGAGGCACATCGGGCTGGCTCCGGGCAGAGGCACATCGGGCTGGACTCCGGGCAGAGGCACATCGGGCTGGACTCCGGGCAGAGGCACATCGGGCTGGACTCCGGGCAGAGGCACATCGGGCTGGACTCCGGGCAGAGGCACATCGGGCTGGACTCCGGGCAGAGGCACATCGGGCAGAGGCACTCCGGGCAGAGGCACATCGGGCAGAGGCACACCGGGCAGAGGCACATCGGGCAGAGGCACACCGGGCAGAGGCACATCGGGCCGGACTCCGGGCAGAGGCACATCGGATTACCAGGCGAAGCAGCAGCAGGCAGCGGGCCACCAGGCGGAGCAGCAGGCACCGGGCCCCCAGGCGGAGCAGCAGGCAGCGGGCCACCAGGCGGAGCAGCAGGCAGCCCCGGGCCACCAGGCGGAGCAGCAGGCAGCGGGCCACCAGGCGGAGCAGCAGGCAGCGGGCCCCAGGGCGGAGCAGCAGGCACCGGGCCCCCGGGCGGAGCAGCAGGCACCGGGCCCCCCCCCCAGGCGGGGCAACAGGCACTGGGCCCCCGGGCGGGGCGACCGGCATCGGGTCCCCAGGCGGGGCGACCGGGATCGGGCTCCCAGGCGGAGAGGCGGGTGCCGGGCCCCCAGGAGGGGCGACAGGCATTGGGCCCCCAGGCGGGGCGACAGGCGTCGGGCCCCCAGGCGGGGCGACAGGCATCAGGCCCCCAGGCGGGGCGACAGGCGCCGGACCCCAGGCGGAGCGGGCGGGCGCTGGACCCCCAGGCGGAGCGACAGGTCTCGGGCCCCCAGGCGAAGCGGCGGGCACCGAGTCACCAGGCATTAGGTCATTTGGCTCGACAGCGGGCACCGCGTCATCTGGCAAGGCAGTGGGCTCCGAGTCAACTGGTATGACCGCGGGCACTGGGTCAGACATTGGATCGTCTGACTGGACAGCGGGCATCGGGTCACCAGGCATCAAGTCATTTGGCTCGACAGCGAGCACCGCGTCATCTGGCAAGGCAGTGGGCTCCGAGTCAACTGGCATGACCGCGGGCACTGGGGCAGACATTGAATCGTCTGGCTGGACAGTGGGCATCGGGTCACCAGGCATCAGGTCATGTGGCTCGACAGCGGGCACCGCGTCATCTGGCAAGGCAGTGGGCTCCGAGTCAACAGGCACGACAGTGGGCACCGGGTCATCAGGTACCGGATTGTCTGGCTCGACAGCGGGCATCGGGTCACCAGGTATGACAGCGGGCACTGGGTCACCAGGCATTAGGTCATTTGGCTCGTCAGCGGGCACCACGCCATCTGGCAAGGCAGTGGGCTCCGAGTCAACTGGTATGACCGCGGGCACTGGGTCAGACATTGGATCGTCTGACTGGACAGCGGGCATCGGGTCACCAGGCATCAGGTCATTTGGCTCGACAGCGGGCACCGCGTCATCTGGCAAGGCAGTGGGCTCCGAGTCAACAGGCACGACAGTGGGCACCGGGTCATCAGGTACCGGATTGTCTGGCTCGACAGCGGGCATCGGGTCACCAGGTATGACAGCGGGCACTGGGTCACCAGGCATCAGGTCATTTGGCTCGACAGCGGGCACCGCGTCATCTGGCAAGGCAGTGGGCTCCGAGTCAACAGGCACGACAGTGGGCACCGGGTCATCAGGTACCGGATTGTCTGGCTCGACAGCGGCATCGGGTCACCAGGTATGACAGTGGGCACTGGGTCACCAGGCATCAGGTCATTTGGCTTGCCAGCGGGCACCGCGTCATCTGGCAAGGCAGTGGGCACCGGGTCACCAGGCATTGGATCGTCTGGCTGGATCAGTTCATCATGCTGGGTAGAGGCATCAGGCTGAATGCCGGCGTCCGGCTGAGTAGAGACTTCAGGCTGAACCACGGAAGGCAGGTTCACCGGTTTGGATACTGGCAGGATGGTATTGGTTGGAAAGAATTTTCGCTTTTTTCTGGTTTTAACTACTGGAGCACTGCAAGTAAATGCAGGTCTGCAAACGAATGGAGCAGCTGGAGACAGAGAAGAACTGGAGGATGGAACAGGAGAGGGAGCAGTTGCTACAGAGGACTTTTTTACAGGGTTAAAGGCAGGATAGGTGCAGCGAGTGGGAACAGGGTACTGACATGCGGTAGATAGCAGGGCAGGAGGAGCTGTTGGGAATGCAGGAATAGAGTTTTGAGGAAATAGATTAGAAGCAGGACTGGGTTTTTGTAAGCTGACTGAGGCTGGGTGCAACAAGTCTGTCCATGTCTGCAGTATGGGTTGAACAAAGCTGAGCTTACACAAAGCCTGTCTGGTCAATGACTGCACTGCGTTTATACAATCTCTTAGTGTCTGTGGTGAACATGTGGAATAACGCTCCAGAAAGTAACCCACATCATCCTCTAATAACCATGCCAGGGACTCTACCTGGTCTGCACTAAATGGTGGCAAAAATTCATCCCTGCATTCGGGGGTACCAGATGAAACCAACTCAGCACAAACCTCAATCAAAGGCTGCACCTCAGAGAACTCTGTGCCCTGATCTACTAGAACATGAGCGAGCCGTATACATTCTAGCAGTTCATCCCGGGTATACTCCTTCAGAGTTTGATAACCATACTCCCTGTCATCAAACACTAGCAGATATAAATACGCAACCTCATCCAGATCCATCCTTCCCATCAACAAGCCAAGATGGCTTCCCTGTGCAGCCACTTCTGGTCAGGATTGGCCTTGGTGTAATGTCAGGGCTCCCGGGTATGACCAGAGGTGTGTGACTGACGCAGGGAAACGCAGACTTCAGATATGTTATAAACAATGTAATTTATTAACACTAACCATACAAACATAAACGCAGTGCAATACTAAAACATAACACAGTGCAAACAAACCAACCAACCACCCACAGATAACAGTACATACAATGCAAGCGTCGTCAGGTAGGCCGGGTCAATATCAGTCGGGCAGGTAGGTACAGGGGGAGCAAGCGGAGAATGGTCGGGGTCACAGGCCAGGTTCAGCAGGTAGCGGGCAGCGTGGTACAGAGGGTCAGGCAGAGGAGAATGGTCAGACAAGCCAGGGATCAGAGCAGGGTCAGCAGAGAATCAGACAGGAACAGAGAGCAGGAACATGATACAGGGCCCAAGAGAAACACAACACCAAGGCAGAGTCTGCAGGTCTGAATGTCCCTTAAATACACCAGTATAATTAGTTCCAGGTGTTTGACTGGCTGCAAGGTTGAGTCTCGATTGCTGGGAGCACCCGCTGGCCAGCCCTGGTACTGCAGCTCATAAGGCAGCTGAGTCCCAATATTGCTGGCCAGTCCATTCCTGACAATAGGACTGAAACACTAAAAAAAAAAAATCTCAGATTTAATTATTACTAGGTTTTGCTACAGAACCAAACCATCTTTACTGTAAAGCCTGCATGAAAAAAAACAGTCTTTACAAATTGACTCCCAATTAGAAACATAAACTATTCCTTAACAAAAAATACTTACACAAAAAGTTCATGGCAAATGGTATAAAACTAGGCCATAATTGCTATGCCATTGAGTTAAAATTTCTCAATTCCCCACATTGATTCTCTCCTAGTGGGCCTTTTAAACAAAATTGTAGAATGTTCCCTTTCAACTTAAAGCAGAACTGATGCAAAAAAATTATTATTAAAAGATAAAATAAAAAAAAAAACTGATTTTGATGCAATATATAGCATCAATCCAGTGATTTGTTCTGCAGTATTTTTTTCTGCTACTAGACGTCCTCAGTTTGTTGGACAGCATGCATCAAAGCATTTCCTTTGAGCCCAGATCATTCTGGACTTGCACCAGTCTGTGAATGGGTAGTGAAAGGAGAAATAGCACAGTGATAATCTCATCTCTCTGTCCCTTTCCTTCCTTTGTACATGCTTCTTGTTGGAACATGAACCAATTAGCTCCTTCTGCTGCCTTACCTCTCACTCAAGCTCCGCTATACAGGAACTGCAAGAAGCTAATGCCAGGTACAAATTCAGGTTCTTACACTGTATGAATTTAAAAAATGCCTTTGACGATTGAAGAGCTGCAATAATTTGTGTTATTATATCTGTCAAGAGTTCAGCTTTAAAAGATGCCACACCACCTTGCTATTAAAGCTAAATAAAACATGAACAGGCATCTTCATAAGTAGTAATTTCTTTGCTTCATGCAGATTATAAAGTATTAGCTAAAATAATTTCTGATTATCTCCAAAAAATCCTTCCATCCTTGTTAATGCTAATAAATTGAAAAACAAACATATCACTATGGGCATTGGTATTGACATCACCACATTAATTTGTTTAATGAGAACATTTTTTATAGTATTTTTTTACCTCTTTTAAACTACAAATTGGTGAACAGAAAATTCAGGAACACCTTTACTTTTTAAATATAGTATATACTGATCTCCATTCGTAAAACTGCTTATCAAAAAAAAAAAAATCTTATCTCGAATCCAGAGGGGCCAATTATCCCTCTGTATAGTGACCTTTCCACAAACTGTTAGATGGCTTACTGCAATTTTAAGGCATTCCCATACCCCTAATACACTGAACAAAATGATTTGGTAATTTTTCTTTCCTATATTACTTTGTTTAAAATGTTATATCCCCTATATCCCCCCAAACTTACCATTATTTCTCCAACACCAATAATATGGAATGTTTTTATTGTCTCATGATTTAGAATCATGGGGTGGTAGAATCCTGCATCAAGCCAGATAGGCACAAACTTTACAGAAACTAGTACTATGCTATTTTTTGTAGCTCTTCTCAAGTTCTTAAAAATTTGCCATTATATACACACATATATATATATATATATATATATGTATATATATATTTCTGTATATACACTATATTGCCAAACGTATTGGGACAGGTCTCCAAATCATTGGATTCAAGTGTGTTCCAATCCCCTCCATGGCCACAGGTGTATAAAATCAAGCACCTAGGCATTCAGACTGCTCCAACAAACATTTGTGAAAGAATGGGTCACTCTCAGGAGCTCAGTGAATTCAAGCATGGTACCGTGATAGGTTGCCTCCTGTGCAATAAGTCCATCTGTGAAATTTCCTTGCTACTAAATATTCCACAGTCAATTACTAGTGGTATTATAACAAAGTGGAAGCAACTGGGAATAACAGCAACTCAGCCACAAAGTGGTAGGCCACATAAAATGACAGAGCGGGGTCAGCGCATGCTGAAGGGCACAGCGCACAGAAGTCACCAACTGTCTGCAGAGTCAATAGCTAAAGGCCTCCAAACTTAATGTGGCCTTCAGATTAGCACAACCACAGTGTGTAGAGGGCTTCATGGAATGGGTTTCATGGCCAAGCAGCTGCATCCAAGCCTTATATCGCCAGGTACAATGCAAAGCATCGGTGCAGTAGTATAAAGCACGCTGCCACTGGACTCTAGAGCAGTGGAGATGTGTTCTCTGGAGTGACGAATCACGCTTCTCTGTGTCTGGCAATCCAATGAACGTGTTTGGGTTTGGCGGTTGCCAGGAGAATGATACTTGCCTGACTGCATTGTGCCAAGTGTAAAGTTTGATGGAGGGGGGATTATGGTGTGGGGTTGTTTTTCAGGGGTTGAGCTTGGTCCTTTGCCCACATGGAAGAAAGATACATCTGAAATATATTTTAAAAATATTCTTTCCAAATATATATATATATTTGAAATACTATATATATATATATATATATATATACATACACACATACACATGTTGAAATGCATTTTTATATATATATGAAATATATATGAAATATATGAAAAATATTGTAAAAAATCTATTTATTTAAAATATATTCTTCAGATTTTTTTTTACATAAAAAAGTCATTTTTACATATATTTTTACATATATTTGTAAATACATTCCAAAAATGTAGATTAAATGTATTTTTTAAAAGATATACAGTATATTTGAAAGTGTATTTTAAAATATATTTTTCATATATTTTGTAATAAAAACACATTTCAGCATACAGAGTATATATATATATATATATATATATATATATATATATATATACAGTTGCAAGAAAAAGTATGTGAACCCCTTGGGATTACGTGGAGTTTTGCATGAATTGGGCATAAAATGTGCTCTGAACGTCATCTAAGTCACAACAATAGAAGAACACAGTCTGCTGAACATAATACTACACAAACATTAGATGTTGCCATGGTTTAATTGCACATAACATATAAACATTCACAGTGCAGGGAGGAAAAAGTATGTGAGGCCCTAGCTTAATGACTTCTCCCAGAGCTAATTGGAGCCAGGAGTGAGCCAACCTTGACTCCAATCAGTGTGATGATATTGGATGTGTTGCTGACAGCTGTCCTGCCCTTAAAAAACACACACCTGTTTTGGGTTTACTGGTTTCAAGAAGCACTGTCTGATGTGAACCATGCCTCGCAGAAAAGAGCTCTCAGAAGACCTACGATCAAGAATTGTTGACTTGCATGAAGCTGGAAAGGGTTAAAAAAGTATCTCCAAAAGCCTTGATGTTCATATGTCCATGGTAAGACAGACTGTCTACAAATGGAGAAAGTTTAGCACTGTTGCTACTCTCCCTAGGCGTGGTCGTCCTGTAAAAATGACTGCAAGAGCACAGCGCAGAATGCTGCATGAGGTAAAGAAGAATCCCAGAGTGTCAGCTAAAGACCTACAGAAATCTCTGGCACATGCTAACATTTTTGTTGACACATCTACAATAAGGAAAACATTAAACAAGAATGGAGTACATGGGAGGACACCACAGAGGAAGCCATTGCTGTCCAAAAAGAATATTGCAGCACGTTTGAAGTTTGCAAAAGAGCACCTGGATGTTCCACAGCACTACTGGCAAAATATACTGTGGACAGATGAAACCAAGATTGAGTTGTTTGGGAAGAACACACAACACTATGTGT